GTGTACTTCTCTTCTAATTTCGATATTTAATGAGTTACATAGGATTATTCGGCATTTTATTGATGTTGACAAAATCCGACCATTCCAGCGTCGAAACGGCGAACTTTTGGAAAAAAATTTCGTTTTTCCTCAATAACTTCTAAACCGTTGGTCGTACGGGAAAATTGCATAATACCTTTCTTGTAGAGGACGACGAGATCTACAATTTCCATGTAAAAATTTTTCGCTAGCATTAATAGTTAACGGGTTATTAACGAAAAACGAAAAAACAATTTTTTGCAAATTACTCGTAAACTATTGACGCTAGCGAAATGTTTTTATACAGAAATTATAGATCTCGTTGTCCTCTACAAAAAAGATCTGATGCAATTTTCTCGTATCTCAAATGGTTTGGGAGTTATTGGCCAAAAACGAAAATTTCGCAAAATCTGAAGGGGTACCCCTTGGAAAAATATCGGAAAAATAAAAAAAATTTTTTTTCGCAAAATATGGAAAAGTGCTTCATGTGCAGAATATCCAAATTCGATTTTTTCGACAACGAAGCGTCAAACGAAAAAATGTTATTCCTATTTTACATTTTCCAGTATCATCCCCTGTTAGGCTCCACCATCCGTTCAGTCACACCCTGTATATTTTTTAGTGATAATTACCAGGAAAATTATTAATGACAAAAATATGTTAATTGACAATTAATTGCTTGAGATATTTCTATTTCCGGTTTCACAGACTCTTCGTAGGAAGGTTGTATATAATCGAATAAGAACTCGCAAAATTCGGTTTGGTCAAAATTTCTCCTAGCGATCTGCGAGTGGCGAAAGGGCCCGAAGCTCGATACTATAATCCGATTGGGTATCGGGTCGTCCCGGTAACAACTGACCCGCGACACTTTCGGCATAAAGAAGTCATGGGGCCGCATTGTTTCCCACGCGTGGAATGCCGGAATGGAGGAGGGTCGGAGCCTGGCCTCTCCGTATACCCGGGGACGAAACGCGTAAAATACCTTCTCGTTGGATTGGCCGCGCCGCACGGCATCAACCTCCTACACACGTATCAAGAAAGATTGACTAACTATCGCGTTAAATATTGCGATTTGCTTAACGGAGGAGATGCGAGATAGCGGAACGGAAACCGGCCCCCACGCTCTTCTTCGTACCACGTTCCTACCTCCAACCCCCGGTTCCCTTCTTGCTGCATCGCCGACGTTTCCTACCTCCTACTTCTCCTCCTCTTCTTCCACGCTAACCCTCTCTGCCTCCTCGACATCCCTCTGGCCCCCGGCACGCTGGCCTCGGCCGACTGTCCTTTATTTATTAACGCAATTAAAGAAACAGAGTGTCGAGCGTCCACGGTCGGCTTTCTACTGTGCCGATGCCGCGGCTCGGAAAGGGACAAGATTCAATTCTACCCGTCGGTGACGTAAGCAAAAAGGGCTGTCGATTAGGATAAAGCGAAAAAAGAACTACTCGTCGCTAAACTAATTCCGGTGATGCCGGAGAGCTATACCAATCGCAAGATACAAGTAGATACTATTACTAATTAGCTTTATTTATGTAAGTGTAACGCGCGTTAGGCTGGTAATAAACCTAATCACTTACTAGCTCACCATTTATTATAACCAGACGGTCCGAAGCGAACGGCTCGGAGCCAGATCGCGGCTCAACGAGCCTCGCAGAGGACAGATTCACGAACCAGGCTCGGACCATTAATTTTTTTCCAGAGTTCATCCATTTCGCCGGGCCTCGGTTCGCGCCGAGCCGGTAATGATTCACTTTTAGCTGTTCACCGAGCAGCACGGTCATCGATCGTTCGGCCGCGGTCGCGATAGCTCGATACAAATGTACTCGGTAAATCTTCGCCGCGGCGGTGTTTCATTTCGCGGAAAATAATCGTCCGACACGCAACGGGGGATGAGTCCCGGCTACGTGCGTGTGTACTAGTTTATGTGTGCGCACCGTCGGCGTCGACGCGTGGCGTTGGCGCCAAGCCAGAAGGTGCCTCTATAAAGACGTCGCGCGTCGCGGTGCCGCGATTCGTCAAAACGTAACCCACAGCAGATTGATGTGGCGGTGCGACCGGATGGCTCGTTATTCTGATTGCGAGTTACCCCGCGCGGGCACAGCCGACCAAAGAGATATACCCATTTAAGTTCGTCGGGGAAATTAATGGCGCGTTCCAGTCTATTTCCGATTTGTAGTTGATTTCGCATAAGTATTGCCGCAATAATCGCAGAAACAGTAGTTCACTCAGAAACTGATTACACAAATCTACTGATTATAATGTGCAACATTTGACATAAAATTAATTGTACAATTATTTCACGAATTATTAATAATAAACCCTCATTAGTATAATACTCGTTTTATTCAGAATTTGATTCTTGATTGAAATTCGAGAAAAATATTGGGCATTCTATTTAAAAACTGAAGTTGTTCCTTATGTCCCATTAAAAAAACAGATCGTATCACTGCATGTCTCCTTAGAGACCATGAAACACTTGCTTAAAGATTTTTATCATACAACCTTACAGATTATTCGAAGTCGTCATGGTACGAGACTCACCCTGTATATTATTCTCCACTGTGTATTAAAACGACAGGAATATTTAGTATTTAAATTATGATAACTAATTAAATTGGCAAACATAATAAATCGTGGAATGTAAGATCAATCGGGGATGGAATAGAATCGTGTGAGCTCGCGACGTTCTCAATTACGGCAGCGGCACGTTAAAATGGCGACATGTCATTGATTACACGGTAATTTTCGTGCGTGTGATCCGTGCCTCCGAGCGTACGAGCCGCTTAGTGAAAAAGCCTGAGACCCAGGATGAGGGTATCGCTAATCTCGCGGTGATCCCTTTGAAGAAGCCAGGAGGATGTCTTGTAAAGGCCGTGTCAAGTAATTGCGTCTCTGTTGCGCCGCGATGGCCGGCGTACGGGGCGTTAATTTGACGCCACCGACTGGAACGACACGCTCAATTTCCCGAACTCAACGATACCGCGGCGCGCCGACGCGACGACGGCGTCGGATCTTCGTTGCGTTCCCATCAGACCGAACTGCACACAAGCGCCACGATAAGCTGGTTTCTCTAAACCCCCTCCTCCCCGTCCTACTTGGAATTAACCCTTTGAACGGATATACGAACGCTGATAAACGCGTACAATTTTTCAGCATGAAAATACTGATGAATGATTCGGAGTTCTAATTGGCTTCGATACGCACTACTTTTTATTTTCTCTTTAATTTCTTGAACGTCTGGTTATGAATGAATCATTCTACTTACGACTTCGTCGATAGTAAGATTAACGCTAAACCTATCGATGGAGTCTAGATTAATTGACACTGATATTTTAGTTTCATATCAGTTTAAATAATAATGACAACTTTAACAATATAACAAAACAATTTTCGTATTTTTTATATTTTGTATAGAAAAATTTAACAATTATTAATTAGCATAATAGTTTTAGTGTCAATTTCCTAAATTCAGACACAAGCAAACTCTTTACTCATATTATAAAATGCACTGTGCATGTGTATTGTCTTAATTTTTATTGTGACGTGATCATTCTTTCAATAAAATCTGATAAACGAAAGGAACATTAAATATTAACAGGAACAGAGCTCATATTGCATTCAAGGTCGTAATTCAGAAAAATTGTGACGCGGACTGTTACTATAGGGGAATGACTTCTTGCCACGGGAGAAATTGCATTTGGTAGGCTTTTGCCCGGTTACCAGCCGGTACCAGGAGCGGCTGGCACACGCTTAAGGGGATCGAAGAATGCGGACGATACGACTGGCCGATAAAACGTTTTGCCCTCGAATGCTCGCCGATACGGGAGCATAACCGACGCGATCACGATTATCCTGCTTTCTTGTGGACACCGCCTTCGAAGGACTACTGCACGTGCGTAAACCGACAACGCACAGCTCAGATGAGTCTGTACCTACTACATCATCTTCTGGTACTGTTAATAATTGCTATATGACCAACCATTTATTATAACATTTATTAGATAGTTATTTCTATTTTTAAGAAATCATTTTTGAGTGCAAAAACAACTTAGTCACTAAAATAGTTTTAAGGGCCAAAATTTACCCTGAAGGGTTTTAAGTTACCCTCCCTCAAACCTTAAAGATACGTGTACACAATATTCCTGCGAGCTAACTAGCAGATTTTGACTGGACTCCATCAAAATCACTGTTCTTTTAGAAATCCTCACAGTTGTATATTTCGTACTTGGAAATATAAAGTCACATCGTGATTAATGAAGTTAATTTTCATCCATTTCCCGAATACAGCATAAGGAAGTTACTTTGTACAGGACTCGTTCCCAGTAATCGATTAAGAAAGTTATTTCACAAGTTCCATTTATGAAATCTTTTAAGCCTTTCTTTTGACTTGTAGTGCAAGATTTTTCTAGATTTCTTATTAATGGATTTCTCTGGTACTTTGATTTGCGTGTTATGTATGTATTTTCAGACATATTCATTGATTATTTTTGTGCACAGTCTTGGTTAAATGTAATCGACTTTCTCACTCATTAGCCGGGGAAATGTATTATCGTTATAGGTACGGGGCTAATAACGTCTTTAGCTTGGTTGCTCGAATCTTGAATTAATTGATAACCGTAAAAGGAGTGACGTGATTAAGGAAAGCTAGTAACGCAGGGCGCCGCTTTGATGTACCACGGAAATCGTATACTGTCCAGTCTCGTTTGATAAATTTTCCACGCGTTGATAACGTTAAAATATAGTTGAATATTCCAGGAAATTTTATTGGCGCACGTCTTTCAGACCGGTTAGAATCATACATTTTTTTCTGAGGTATACTTGATGATCCTGAATTTTGCTAATATAATTTTTTAAGATCAGTTTCCAATCATGAACATTCTATCCCATCGTTAACATTTTGTATTTTGTTTCACGTGAAAGAAGTATCAAAGGGAATCTCAATTTCACGTGAGATCCTTCTCCAAAGGAACCCGAAACACTGTCCAATTTAATAAGGCAATAGCCGCGGAAGCTCGCAGCGGGGGTCGCAAACACGTGCCGCAGCACGTTCGAACAATTCCCCGCTCTTCTTATCGGCTGGCTCTCTTCCTTGGTCCTCCCCGCGGAGGGTGTCTTTGTTCCCGGGGCGCACACGCCCGTCGAGCGAGAGACGTTCGCTCCTTGTACGTACGTTAGTCGACATACCGCGGCTAAAACTGTCTCCTCAGCCTCCGTCTCTTCTACTCCTCCTCTCGCGCTCGCTCGCCTCTTCTCCCTCATCCCCGGTACGGTTCGCTCTCTCCCTGAGTCAGCGTGCGACTCGTAGAGAGCCGGGAGAGGCGCGGAAGCTCTTAATTTACCTTTCCTACGCCGTGAAAGCGCGGTCGCGATGGAACGACGACGAAGAAGAAGCTCCGGCAGGGGGAGAGGCGCGCGACGGCACATAACAATTAGGTCGTGTTGTCTTGAATTCTAAGCAGGCTAGTGAACTGATCCTGCCGAGGCACTGCCGCGAGATAAATGCGGCCTTAAACGATACCGATATAGACGGGCTGCTACGCCGATCGCTTGCCAAACTCGAACCGTGACAACCCCCTATCCCTGCTCGCTGGCCTTTCTCGTTAGCCGGCTGTTTCTTTCGGCAACTTTCGGCCCTTCAACGGGATCATTCGTCCCGCCGCATCGACTATCTTTCCAGAGGTCCATTCCTTTTCGGGACGATATGAATGTTTCCTTCTCGGTACCCCTTTTTAACCCGTCGATATCGTTCCGCTCTTCGTCGCATGTATTCTGATGAGTATTCCTCTCATCGCGTCAGTTTATTCTGATCGATTTTGCGCCTTGCCTGATATAGGTGACAGGTTTTTCGTTTTGCCGGTCTTTATGGTATGTGCAACGACGTGTCCTTCTTTTGTTAATTCATTTCTGCGAAGTTTCGGCTTGCCAAATATAGCTGACACGTTTTGGTCATCCGAGAATTTTTATCTATTCGATTTTAAGAGATCTTTTTATTCCTCGTTTACCCTTTTATGCCGTTCCCCTATTTCCATCCGTGGTATTTTTTCCCACCCTTCCTCTGTCCCCCGAGGAACACCTTCTTCTTCTTCTTCTTCTTCTTCTTCTTCTTCTTCTCCTTCGTCTCCTTCCACCGGCCGACATGCAGCGGGGGTTTTAAGTCCCCGAGTACGACGACGGTACAATTGTTACGAGGCTTGTTAGCGTTGTCGCGGGCTAATGGCGCACTTTATTATCGGTCTCTCGCTCTGTTCGCGTCGCACATCCGCGCCGCGATGCGTTTTAAATCACCGCCCTTTGATGCATTAGTCCCGGTCCCTTTCTCGCGCTGTCCCATCTTCGGGCCGCGTGCTCCGATGACGTCCGACCGTCGAAACGAGATCCTAATTGGAACGAATCGCGCCTGGCTACTTATTCTCACGACGCGCGGACACACCTACTTTATTTCAATTCCGCTTATCACGAACATTTTATTTCTTTTTTTTTTAATTTAATTTCGCACCGTAGAGTCTCTTATTTTTATAGAGTTTATGAAGAAATCGTTCTGTCTCTTAGTGAAAACAATTCTTAGTTCTAAAGTGCTGCGCTCCAATTCTTCGCAATTATTAGAATCTTTATGGAATATTTTATTTCAATTACTCACCCTTCTTGTCGTGCGCCAACGCCCTTTGAAAATGTTCTTCTACCTTGGACGCGGCATCCTCTCTGTAGTGAGTGACGACCACGCAATTCGGGTTCAGGTACTGCGCTCTGCTCTCGCCGTCGTCCGAATCCTCCCCTGCGGTACCGGTTCCCACAGCTTTAACCCAGTTAAAAAAAATCATTCATAATTTTTTGTAAATTAAAGAAAGCAAGTAGAATAGAATTATTTATTGAAAGAGATTCTATGTAACATACCGTCCGTCGATCTGTCGTCGTCTAACGTTCTCGAAGGTTGCGCTGTAGTCGATGCGAGGGGTGGCCGTGGCTGAGGAGTTGGCCTTGGCGATGCCGGGCTGGGTGCCGAGCCGACGGAACCGGCGCTACTCGGTTGCCCTTGGGGGACGCTTCCACCGGCCGGGCAAATTTCAATACCCGCTGCACCGAGCGATCTTTGGACATTCAACTGGAGAAACAAAGTATATTTTCTTATTTAATACTTTTATTTAATTCTATTATTTAAGTTAAAGATTAGTCAATCACTGGCCCCAAAAATGTTTCTATTAAGCCTACTGGCAACTGAAGTAATTTCATGACATTTCTGTATTTATTATCTTCTACATATTCCTGAGATTTTTAAATGTTTCACAGGGTGTAAGCCTTCTTGATTATCAGATAATTAAAAAATGTAACAAATAAAAAAATGTTTGCACAGAGTTGTCACGGTTTAAATAGAATTCGTGTTGTTACATTGAAGCATCTCGATTTGTGCGGCAAGACGTTCACACGATTCGAATAAGTAATTTCCGCAAGTAGTCACGCAACAACTAATTAAGACCAAGATCATGAAGCATTTAATTTACATCGTTGATTTGACAAATATTTATTTCTGTATTAAAGAAAAGTTGACCTAAGTATTTCCCTAAAGCTTTTATGCATATTTGAATTCTATCAATTTACAATTCCATTGCTTGAGGATGTCCCAATCATTCCAATGCCATTCTACAATCAATAGCAAAGCATCATGAACCATGCGGCTAAATTTCAACCCTCGTGGGAGGAATATCGATGTCTGCATCGACGTTTCGAGAGTACTAAAATATTACAAGCTCAAGAGGACCGCGAACAACGAAACGGTCGCCGAGGAGAACATCCGCTGGGAACGGCGCGGACAATTCCAGAGATTTTACCACCCTCGAGCCGGTACCCGCCACCCCCTGGCTCCGCTCCAACCCCGATCGTCTGTCTGCCAGTCACTCGGCGAATCCGTCGTCGTCTCGGTTGACGTTTAGTAGGTAAATCGTACGGTACCGAGTCCTTAGAAGAGAGGGTAAACCTCCATTGAGCACATACCGACGCCAGGCGTTGGCGTCCATTGTACGCCCCGCCGCTGCTCACGGTCCGGGGCAGACTGCAAATAGCGGCGAGAGCGAGCTATGCTATGCTATGCGCTGGCATCGTCACGGCCGCTCGCAATGAGACCAAATAGGACGTAATGCTCGCTATTCATTAGATCCTACGGATGCAAATGCCACGCTGGGTCATGGCATTCTGCTCGAATTTTTTCAACCCGCGCCTCGTCGCGCCGAACCGATCGCGTGCACGACACGACAAGCCAACTATTCGACCACGCCGGATCGAAAGATGGCAGCCGAGCGAGCGTCGGGACGCTCCGACGACCCTTGTTCGAGGCATCCCTCGAAAGGACACAGGTTGCGGTGGTGCGGTGGTATTAATTCGGGATAACCCCTCCTTAGGTTCAAACATGATTCCCTGCTTCGGAATTGTGTCTTTTATATACATATACTAAAAGACGATTCATGATTTGTATCTCTACTTCAAAAGAAATAAATTTCCTCTTAAACGTCGTTTTTTATCTTTATCAGACATGGCTGGAAACTGAAACTTGATTTTCCAAAAATTAGATTTATAGACAAAGAAGTCACTCACAATTATAATTTATTTATATATTTTCATCTAAAGGCACTATAGTTCATTATTCCTTCCTGTCATTATTTTAAGATAATTTAGTTTTTAAATATGTTAAAGAAAAATCATGTTATCTAGTACAAGTACAATGTTTTACAAAGATTTTCGCAATTTTCTTATCGTGTTAGAGCGAAACCGTGTTGTAGGAGGACTACCTGTACTCGATTTTGTAAAATCCATTGGTATACAACGCGAAAATTAAATATAAACTATAACAGTGAACAATAATAATAACTGAGAATGGCATAATACTATTGTAGATGAAATACACGGTCAAGAATAATTCATTTGCAGAAAGGGGTAATGATATACTCAGTGTTTGAGGTAGATCTGGAGAAAATATTTGCCTGGATTAGTCAAATGAATCTGATTTATCACATCTTATCTAATCAATGATTCTTCGAAGTCTCAAACTCATTTATTTATGTCTAAGGATTCGAACGTCTAATCCTCAAACTGGCAAAACAGAACAAACCTCTTAGCTTCTAGCAAACGGTTTTCACAGAACTAGTCGTAAAATCATCGCGAATTACAATTGACGTCAATTGCTATCTCTATGAATTATCTACGATAAAACAAGAAGATCGCCACAGATAGTGGTACATCGTACACCGTTAGTCCAGCGATTTGCCGGGTTAGAAAGAGAACAACGAGCCACGAGGTCGATCAATTCCGCGGGCATAATCCGGCCGGTGGTTATGCGAGGAACTCGGAGGACGCGCGCGCTTTTCGAGCGGAAACCAGCCAAGCATGCACAATTTTAATCTGGCTCGTGCTTTCTGCGTTCGACCGGCGGCCGTCGATCGGCGCTCCGTCGAGGGAGTCGAAGGTCGATAGATTGACGAGCGATCGAAAGTGAACGGCGGTGGGTATACAAAGTCTACGGCCGATCCTGACGCATTACTCACGCGCGATGACGGCCAACCCGGGAAAAATATGACCGTGCGAATGCCGACAACGGCCAGCAGGATTTCCCGGCAGGCATCGAGGCCAGATGCTTTCCTACCGATTTCCTGAACGAGGCAATCCGCCGACAGAAAGTCAGTCGCGCTAAGAATTGCAGAGAATAAATTAATTAGAGAAATGTATCTCTTAAGAGACTAATCGGTAAAGAATTCTTTCTTAAATTCTTCAAATAAATGATGATCACAATTAGCTTTGGAGGTTTTAAACGATTATTGAAACTTCATCCTGAATCACGATAGCACAACCGAAAGCTGCTATTTGCTGCCGAATACGTTGACATAATCTGAATATTGGACGACAGGCGTCGTTTCATCAATTCAGTCGTAATAAAAATATCGTAGATACAGTGTTCGTCCGCGGTTTCGAAATAAGCGGAGAAGCCAGACCGAGTAAATGAATTCTGCTCGCAGGGACTCGCGTATATTAGCAGGAAGATAAATCGGGGATGCTCGCGCGCGGTCCAGCCGATATTCATTACGGCTAGTATCGTACCTGACGGCGCGGCCCGCGCGCCGCCGAGCCGCGTTGGTACATCGATCCTCGCGATCGTGCCGAACGCGATCGTAATGATCCAAGAAACCGTCCGCGCGCGAGTTGCATGCCATCCCGACGCGATGATAAAGAACGAGCGAGCGTAGTTGCGCGCACCATAGGCAGTCGGTAGCCATTATTGTTGCGCAAACTATCGAGGATAAATCTAGCCGACCGACGGCCGCGTATGAATTATAAGCTCAATGGGGCGAACCGAGAAAATTCGTCTCTGTTCTCTAAGATATAGTCAAATTTTCCGATAAGTATTGTGAGAATGTCTCAGCTTCATTTTTGAATTTACGAAGCGAGTCAATAAGAATATTTAAAATAATTTATAATTTGTTACAAGAAGAAAATTAATTCATTAAATGCGAAATTCATATAATGCATTTTTTAATAAAATCATAGAGGAGCTTCAAGAAGTTTGTAGATAAAACATATTTATATTCGGAGAATTTGTAAAATTTTTATTGGAAATTATAATACAACTTTCTACAATTAAGTATGAAATACAACATTAAGCAAATGACCTAAGCTTTTATGTAATAAGTTTTATCGAAGGTCTGCTTGAAATAATCAGTTACTTCTTATCGATTCAACTTGTATTATTCAAGAAGAACAAGATTATGCAGTAGAATCACGATTACTCGTTTTATTCATGTAAATCGTAATCAGTGTTGAAATGATGAACGTTTAAATTGTTCGGATGATGAATTACGGTTTGAAACTGAACAGTTACAATCGCATCGTAGAATATGTGCGTCTGCAATCCTCGTCATTCGACGCCACGATACACGCAATTGCAGTTGCGTACGTGTCGCCGTGGCCATTATTGTTGCGCGAGTCCCTGCGAATGGGAACAGTCGACAAATAGAGGCGAACGTGATGTTAAGTATAAGTTTAACCCTGGCAAATGGACCGAGGGACGCGCACGGTCCATTTCTCGGCAATGGCACGCTTCGCCAGAAATTCAAGGGGGAATTGTGTTAATTATTCGTATGAATATAAACATCGACGGTGCAAAATGGTAATAAAATTTTCGAGAATCTAAAGATATTACAGGAATTATAAAAATCCTTTTCTAATTAAACGTCAATTTTATACATAATTACAGTTTCTCAATGATCGAAGGATTTTGTTTAATAGTTTCTTACTAATAAATTTCGAAAGACATCTGAAGAAAAGAAGTCGTTGCCTGATACTTTCTAATACGAAGAATACCTCAAGGAAACGCTTCGCATTCTGCGCACGATTTTCATCGTGACAAATCTCATTAGTGTCCGTTTCTCCGAAGAATAACATACTTACGCTTAATTAGTTGTTTCAATACATAAACGCTGGCAGATTTATTTAGTAGTTTATTCTATTTCTCTTAATTCTCTTTATAAACCAATTTAGTAACGTGACATCATTTTCATCAAATACTCTCTTATGGAAAATATTCATTTGAAATAAGAAGGAAGCTACGCAAAATAATAATGACTTCATTTTTTAGATATAAATTAATTCCCTTCAGATTGTTTGACTTCAACTCACGATTTTTTCTCAAAAATTCCTAAAATCATGCATTTTTACAAAAATTGCTATTTTTCTGAAACGATACTGGATACAGCATTTCTGTTTCCGGATTCGTCTTTAACATGACAGTCTTTATAAGAATCACTGGATATTGCAAACAAAATTTTGCGGTAGTGTAATATTTTCACATTCCGTTTTCTTACAAATGCATAAAATCCTGTCTACTAATAACCACCCGAAATTTCAAACGCTCATAAATCATATCATGCGACATTTCGCCTGCAGCTGAAAAGCATACTCGTCCAACGGCAACCAAAACTAAGAGCGCGACTGGTCCGCGTGAAAGTAAGCGATAACCTCGCATCCAACAAAGTCAGACTTGTGTTCTGATCCTCCCAATCGGTTTGTCCGCGGCTCCCGGTTCCCGTTGACAAGCAGCAACCGTCTTTGTCGCGTGTATAT